AGACATGGACTTTATGGAATATTTTTTAAAAGCTGATTTCTGTTAGTAGGAAGGTTTGAATTGTTTAGTTTTATGTAATGTTGTAGTGCTTGAGGGAGATGCCAGGATATGGTATCATATTTTGTCCAATTGATTATAGTGTGTAGGAGTAAGGAATTTAAAATTGATGTGACATTTGGCAGTTCACTAACTGCCATCTTCCCATATTCCACGAATGGATGTCCATCAGAAGCACGAGAGCGTAAACACATTGACTCATAACTGCTCGTAAATCTCTAGCATTCAGTTATATTTTAGATAATGTTTAGCTCATGTGCAGTGAGTCAGTGAAGTGAATCTTGGGTTTGTTTTCCAATTTGGGGGCTAGTCATAGACTGGCAATCACCCTTCTTCCTTCCAGTTAAGTCTCTTACAAACTGTAGAAATAGACTGGAGTTGCTGACACCTTGATTTAGTAAGCATGGGCCAAATAATCATAGCAATCAACAGGTTGTCACATCAACAAATAATATCAATAATATTTTGCTGTGCTGCTCTCCTGTTTAAGATCTGCAGCCCTTCACAATCCAAATTCGAACCTGTGGATATCTGACCTTTTCCTTTCTTCCCCTGTGCCTAGGAGTGTGTTATAAAGATGCACTGTGGAGTTATGCTAAGTCAAGAATGGGAAGGAGGAAGAAAAGAATAATGTCAAGGTTTACTCAAGCCTGAGGAGTTTAATATAATGGGAAAGAAAATGAAGTTCTGACTGACACAAGTAGAGGGAGAGACCTGTGCTGAGAAAGTACATGTTAAGGAGATTATCTAAGAAATGCTTATATTTGGGTCTGCTGTTCACTGATAAGCCCGGCTGCCATCGTACTGAAACACCGCTATGCCAACTGGAAATAGCTGCTGCTCTGGCTGCTGTGGCCACTTCCCTGGGACCCCATCCCAGAGAAGGTGGGGAAGAGGCGGCTTGAGTGCTGGCTAAGAAGGTGCTGCTTCTGAGTGCCGCACTCACTTCTCCACATATTTCACCACCCACCGAGCGTCCTTGGCCACCCCTGAGGTAGCACAGCTGTGATGCTGCCATCTGCCACACACATAGCATATTGAAGGTCTCCCTTGTAATTTCATCATGCTGTCCATCCTCATGTTCCTGTCCTAGTCACCGAACCAGCCATTCTGCCCTTTACTGCTAATCAGCTTCATTCCCTCCCCCAGCCCTGTGTCACCTCACTGTACTTTTGGATTTGGTCTAAGTTATACCTGCTCAATTTCAACACGCAGTTACATTCTTCCTCTGCCAACTCCTCTATCTGCTGTCTCTTGTAGCCTGACACATTAGATTAGTGGTTTCTAAACTTCTTTAACTATGTCTGTCTAGCAGGAGTAATTTTTGAACATGTATGCTACAGATATGTTTATTTTAAAATGATATAGTCAACTATAAATTTATTTATTGAACACTAATAAAGTTTAAATTTTAGCTTTTAAAAACAAATAGAAGTTTAATATTTTCTTAGTATATTCTGCTGTTATGATCTGAATTATGTCACTCTCACAAATTCATATGTTCATACCTCAATATGACTTTATTTGGATATAGAACTATTAAAAAGGTAAGAAGATAAAACTAAGTCATGTCTGTGACCTTAACCAAAGTGATTTACATCTTTATAAAAAGAAAAGTTCAGGTCACAATGTGCATCGGGATGTCACCATGTGAAGACACTGGTGGAAGATGGCCATGTGCAAGTCATGGAGAGGGGCATCCAGAAGAAAGGCATTTCCAACCTACCCACATCTTGACCTTGGATTTTCAGCCTCCAGAATTATAAGAAAATTTATTTCTGTTTAAGCCATCATTCTGGGGTCTGCGTTACATCGGTCTGACCAAACTGATGCTGATTTGGAACTAATGATTCTCATTTCAAAAGCATTTTCTTCCAAATATTCTTAAATAGATTGACTAAGCATCTCAGGATACAAACCAGAAATTCTAGAAAATAAATGGTAGTTACTAATTATTGAAGACTTATTTAATCTAGAGGTCCTCAACCATAATCACTATCACTGTGCCTGAAACTTAATATTTACACAGTAAATTTTGTGAATGAATTAAACAAACCGAAAAACCAAGAGGAACCAGAAAATGGGTTCAGAGATGTTGAGTGATTTGCCAAAGTTCGCTCAGATCCATCTTACTCCAAAGCTTGCCCTATTAATTTAGTCTTCCCTATTTATTCTGACCGCACCCTCCACCCATGATTGCTCCTTACCAGGTGGGATTCACCATCTTAAGTTGTCATCATCCTTAGGCTTCAGAAGAATGAAATTTGAGAACTAAAGAGCTGAAGGATGGCCAACGTGAACTTCATGTGCTCATGAGGAAACCAAGCAGAGCAACTTAAGCTTAGCTGTCAGTTCACTGGGCAAAAGTCACACATTTCAATTAGACTTCACCTCATGAGTGACTCTGAGACCTCCAAAAGAGCTCACTGGGAGAATGAGAAAAAACAAGCCCATAGAATGGGAGAGAATATACACACACTTTATTCATTTCTAGCCAAGTATTCATGTCCTGAATATATAAAGAACAAAGCAAAGCAAAGAGAGAAAGGCAGATGGTCCAATTGAAGAACAGGTGAAAGACTTCCATAGCTCTACGTAAGAGTAGATATCTGTTAAGGTTTAGATATGGGGTGTCCTCCAAAAGCTCATGTGTGAGATAATGAAAGAAAGTTCAGAGGTGAAATGAATAGATATTGAGAGTTGTAACCCAATTAGTGGATTAATCCTCTGGTAGGGGTTAACTGGGTGGTAACTGAAGGCAGGCAGGATGTGACTAGAGGAGTTAGGTCACTGGGAGTAGCCTTTAAGGAGATATATTTTATTTATTTATTTATTTTTTAGTTGTAGTTGGACACAATACCTTTATTTTATTTATTTATTTTTAAATATTTATTTTTTAGTTTTAAGTGGCACAATATTTTTATTTTACATTTATGTGGTGCTGGGATCAAACTCAGTGCCTCATTCATGTTAGGCAAGCACTCTACCACTGAATCACAACCCCAGCCCTATTTTATTTATTTTCACATGGTGCTAAGGATTGAACTCAGGGGCCCGCATGTGCCAGGTGAGCGCTCCACCACTGAGCCACAACCCCAGTCCATAGGGTTTATATTTTGTCCCTGGATGGCGCACTCTCTCTCTGCTTCCTGACTGCCATGTCCTGAGTTGCTTTTCTCCTCCATACTTTTTCACCACGATGTTCTGCTTTACCTAGGGCTCCAAACTATAGAGTTAGCCATCTAGGGACTGAGACCTCTGAAACTGTGAGCCCCAAATAAACTTCCTCCTCTCTGTTATTCTCTTTTGGTCAAGCAATGAAAAAGCTGACTAGAACAGTATCCAAATAATCAATAAACATATAAAATGATGTTCAAATTGTTCAGCTATATTAAATATCAGGGAAATGCACATTAAAACCAAAATTTGAGACCACTGTACATCCTCCTGAACAGATAAAATAAGAAAAGCAGATAATATCAAGTGTTAGTGAGGACGTAGAGCAACTGGAACATGTTGCCAGTAGAATTGTGAGTTCATACAACCCCCCAAAAACTGCTCGACAGCATCTACAAAAGTGGAACACATCCCTAACCTATGACCCAGCGAACTGTTTCCAGCCACGTAACCAATAGCAACAAACAAATACTCATCCAAAAGACTATACAATAATGTTTTAATGCATGATGGCATACATCTGTAATCCCAGTGGCTCAGGAGACTGAGGCTGGAGAATCGCAAGTTCAAAGCCAGCCTCTGAGCAACTCAATGAGACCCTGACTCCAAATAAAATACAAAATAAGGTTGGGGTTGTGGCTCAGTGGTTGAGTGCCCCTGAGTTCAATCCCTGGTACTCCTCCCCCACCCAAAAAATAAAAGTCTGTAGCAACACTATTCATAGCAACCAAGATTTTGTCACACAAATATCCGTTAACAATATGACAATTTATATAGAAGTTAGTACAATGAGATACAATACAACAATGAATAAAAGATGACTACATGCAACAGTGTGGATGACTCTCACAAACAATGCTGGGAGAGAGAAGCCAGATCCAGAGGAGGTAATGGCCTATGATTCTATTTATATTTATATGAATACAAAAAAAAAAAAAAAACAGCTCATCAATGGTGTTAGATCATGGGAGTAGTGACCCAGGGAAGAAGATAGTAACAAGAAACAGGAGAAGGCTCTAGGGGCTGATCATATTGTTTCTTGATAGGGTGAGCTCACCTTGGGAACATTTGTCAGGCTGGGTGTCTCAGTCCATTTTGTGCTTCTCTAACAGGAAAACAAAACCTGGGTGACTTATAAAGGGTAGGAATTTAATCTCAGTGTTCTAGAGGCTGGGAAGTACAAGGTGAAGGTGCTGGCATCTGGCAAGGGCCTTCCTGCTGGGTCATGGAAGGCAGCACATGCAGAAGGGGAGAGGCCAAACTCTTTTTACAGGTAGCCACTCCCAAGATAACAATCACTCCCATGATAACAGCATCAACCCACTATCAAGGGCAGTGCCCAAGGCCTGATCGCCTCCCTGTGGTCCCACATCTTAACTCTGTGAACACAACGGCAGTTAAATGTCACGTGTGTGGGAGGGGATGTTCAGACCACAGCTCTGTTTATGATTTTTGTAATATTCTGTATGCATAATATACTGCAAAAATTTTTATCCTCCCTGCCACCAAAACCTATGCCAGTCTCATTATAAATCCAGACTTGAATTAACAGCTATCCTTTGAGATGTAGTCAAACTCGCAAATGGGGAACACCGATCTCTGGAGGGTTTCTTGGAAAGGATGATAGATTTCATCATATCAATCAACTTGGCCTTTCCTATAGTTAACAGTGTGAAATGATGACCCACAAGGGCTCCTGGGTGTGGCTTTGGGGTAGCTTTGCTGCCTGGGTCTCTGATGACGTGGGGAGTAGCTGCAGAAGCACTCAGGGTGGCTGCGTAGATGTGCTATTTCAGCCTCTGCCCGACAGGAAGGAGCGAGAACCAGGTCAGTTATTTGAAGAACTGACTTCCTCCTGCCCAGCCAGAGCAGACTCCTGGCTCTGAGTAAAGCAGATAAGGTAGGATGAGTATCCATGTCTATGTGGGAGCAGGTCATTGTGGGTAGGGTGGGTTGAGACTGAAGTTACTGTACAGTTACTTAACTTGCCTTAAGCCAATGGCATGGTGAAGCTGGGAAACAAAGCTAATAAATAATAAATTAGATGAAGAATGACTTGAACTTATTTTGAATAACATACATTTAAAATGTGGTCATGATCTAAGTGATATGGAGGAAGTAATTTCAGTTAGTTAAGAAAACAAACAGAAGACACTATCCCAAAGCTAGATGGTGTGGGTTTTTTAAGGTGATTGTGTCTTTGGATTTCTCCTTTGGTTTGTAAATTCTTATGCATACAGTAAACTGCTCACTTTCTCCAGATCAGCTTATTCATTCACATTGTTCTTATCATCCATAATCTCTAGTTTGAAGGTGGAACATAAGTATGATTTTAGAATAAAGAAATTGTTAGATAGGGTCTAATTTAAATTTCTTTTAATCAAACTTCCTTGACTCCCAAATATCTTGTCAGAAGGAAATACACATTTGATATTAAAAATTTATTAAGTAACTAAAATTGTTTTAGAAAAAAATTACTGAGCTAAGATAGTGGGAGATTGTTACTTCTTTCCTGCCTAAAGGAAGCATCACATTTAGGTGTTACACAGACCCAGATTACAGTGTGAATTTAGGTAAATGTCTTGTAAATTGCTCCAGGCTTTGCACCTCTCCTGTCCCCACTTTGCACTTCTTCTCCCAACCCCACAGCTTTCCTTCTCTTTCCCTCTCCCTTTCTCCCTCCCCCCTTTATTTGTACAGTGAGCACACTTACTTCATAATGTTGCAATGAGGATTAGTTAAAACAAGGTATGTGAAGTGCTTAAACTGGCCCAGAGTAAGTACTATATAAATGGCTGTTGGCACAACAAAATGTATAACAGTGGTTATTAGTAATACCTATATCAATACAATAACATTAATTCTCATTTCTTTTTTTTTTCTTTTGGTACTGGGGATTGAACTTAGGGGTGCTTAACCATTGAGTTACACCCCTGACCATTTTTAATTTTTTATTTTGAGACAGGGGGGTCTTGCTAAGTTTCTTAGGGCCTTGCTAAGTTGCTGAGGCTGACTTTGAACTCATGATCGTCCTGCCTCAGCCTCCCTAGCCACTGGGATTATAGGTGTGTGCTTTTTCTCCATCTATAAAAGGAGGTCACATTTAAGCCATGAAAATCATGGATATCTATTTTAGTTTTTATTGATTCTAAAATAGCTTTTGGAGAGGGGTGGGGTGGGATGGCAAGAAATCCACCTGGATGGGAAGATTACATAGAATCAACATTGAGTTGCACCCCCCAGGAGGGCTTCAGGCTGTATTGGTTTATGTGTACACACACACTTCTTCCTACATGACATGCACAGCTTTCAGGGACCTAAAGCTCATACAACAGGTGGAGACTAAGAAAACAAGTATGAATTGGGTGGGGTGTTGGGTGGGGCCGCCCAAGTGAAGGGTCCTAACGCTCAGGCTCACTAATGAAAATCCACCTCTAAGTCACAAGACAGAGAGGATTTTATAAGCACCCATCTCTCTTCCCGTGTCAGGCTTTTGAAGGAACCCGTGTGTATTCGTCTCAGCTTTTGCAGACTAAGTCTTTGTAGGCTATGGCTGGGAGCCCAGTTTGGGCTGGAACTGGAGACTAGAGGAGCTCTTCCTTTATCACCTGCCTCGGTAGCTTGTATTCGTTTGCTGTCCTGGCAAAACGTCAAGGGCAGTTTAGTCACTCAGCTTTTCCCTTGCATATGAGGTACTTGCACTGTGGCTGCACACAGCCTGCGAAGCTGCTCAAGGAAGTGGCTGTGGCGAAGCTGGCGGGGCGGAGGTGCAGCCCCTGAGAAGACCTTGCTATGTGCCTTCTGTATCAGTGACGGAGACTGTGGTTTCGAGGCTGTGAAAATGCCTGTAGTTTCTCTTGAAAGACCCGTAGTGATCTGCTACTATTTGCATTTCCACTCAAGTGTCATTTTTCCCTCCATCGGAATGAGGTGGTGAGAACTTATTTCCTTTGACCTGAGGTCTGCCTGCTCAGAGATAAGACATAACTGGATAAGAGAAACAAGGACCTGCCTGCAGATAAGGAATATCTCCCTTTCCCATTCTCCTTTGTTTTTCTCTCCTTCAATTTTACATTGCTTGCACTTGATCCCCTTGCCAGATGGGAAAGCTGAAGTTAAGGTTTGTTGTCAGGCTGAGTAAAGGAAGCCAGCATTGTTTGCAGCTTCTAGAGCATGAGGGAATGCAATCCCGTGTCAGATAAGGACGAGGCACTTTCTGGAAAACACTGTGTGCTGTGTGAAATCATTGCACGTTCTTAAACAAGCTAAGGTGAGACACAGTTGTAGTGTGATCAGCTGTTGGCAGACTCGTGATTATTTCCATCCCCTGGGAACCCTCCCTAATCCCAGCAGCCCTCTCTGTCTTCCCACATACCAAGCCTCTCCCTCCCTGTGTATCCTTGACTGTTTATATGCATCCTCCACATTATGATTTATTTGTTTTCATGTCAATTTTTCTGGCTAGAGTGTGCACTTCTTGAATTCACAGCTCACTGTGCTTCACTTGTTTTCATGTCCTTGCTACCTGGAATGTGCTTGGTCCTCAGAAGACCAAGAAAACCTGTGTTGTCAAACAGATGCACTAAATCCCATGACCACACTGTCCGGGTGCCAGACACATAAAAACAGCAAGAGGGGTTAAAGACAAATTGAAACAGGGTAGTCCCCTCGTCCGCAGTTTCACTTTCATGATTTCAGTTACCTATGGACAACATCGGTCCAAAAATATGAAATGCAAAATTCCAGAAATAGAGCCAGGCACAGTGCATGTACCTATAATCCCTTCTGAATATAAAATCTTCTGAAGGCTGAAGCAGGAGGATCACAAGTTTGAGACCAGCCTCAGCAACTTACCAAGACCCAGTCTCAAAAAAAAAAATTATAGAAATATGCAATTCATTAGTTTTAAATAACTTTTACAATAGTATTACAACTGTTCCATTTTATATCAGTTTGCCTAAATTATACGTTAAACTTTTTCATAGGTATGCAGGGAAAAAATAGCATATATTGTGTTGGGTACTGTTTGTGGTTCCAGGCATCCCCTGGGGGTTCTGGAAGGTACCCTGAGGACAGCGTGCCTAGGATGCGATAGCCCACCACTGCTGTCTGTATTTCCACCAATCCTGGAGAAATGGCCTGGTTTCTCATGGGCCTTCCTGGAGGGCAGAGGAAGCCATGGAGAAGCACTTGAGTCGTGCCTGCTGGGGGCTCCTTGAGTGACTTGCTTAGTTCGCAACACAGCCCTGTGAAGCAGGGACCGTCTGCTCCCCTTGCTAGAGGAGGAAGGTAGGTCTCACAGACTGAAGCAACTGGCCTGAGCGCAGGTGGGAGTTCTGGCCTCGGAACTAGCTGACCCCAAACAACGCTGGGCCGGGCTGGTGTGCTTCTCTAAGGGGCTTAGGGAAACTCATTCACACTGGTGCTGTGCTGTAGGTTTTATTTATTTCTATTTGTTGAATGTGATAGTGGAGTGCAGCCACCAGTGCAGAGGTGTGAGGGACAAAGGCGTTAGGAGACGGCCTCTGGGTGGGACCTGACCAATTTATTGAATGAGATTATGAATATTAACCCAGAAAAATGGATCTGCAAGATTTCATTATTCAGGCTGTGTATGGCATTGTGAATTGCTGCCTGAGAGCATTAAAATACAATGATTTCTACTCTTCCTTTCTAACTGGGAAATGACTCAGGGTTTCCTACCCTTTTCAGATTGCTGAAGGCGGGGGCTCTCTGAAATGAGCATTTGCTTTCTCCCTGACTGTCCTTACTTACTGCTCTGCTTGACTTCCTGCTTTAGTAAACCTACATGTCACAATATTCACCAGCTTTCTCAATTCAAGTTGAACATTGGGCACCTCCTTGCCGGGTGATGGGGGAATTACCGAACCCTGAAGCCCACAGTACATGGAAACACTCCAGTACAAGATGAAATGAAACCAGAGTCTCCATAGAGAAATAGTCAAAGTAGAAAGGGGCGAAAGTTGTAGAAAGTGATTACCTGAATTAGGTAATATTAGGTAATAATTTCTGAATTAGGGAGTGGGAGATCGGGCCCTTTAAGCACGGACAGCAATAATAATGATGCTCTTACTAGCCCTGACTGACCCCAGCCAATGCCTGCACCCGGCACCAGGTGCTCCGCACTGTGCTCCAGATGCGGCTGAGTCAGCACATTTCCTCATCACAGCTCCATGAAGTGGGTGCTGCACTTCACTCTGTTTTGGGGATAAGGAAACCAAGTCCAGGGGGCTCATGGAACTTGACCAACACCTCAACAGCCAGTAAGCAGCTGAGCAGAGCCATTCACGGGATGGCCAGGCCCAAGCCCTGGTCTCCTGAGCCCTCTTTTGCTCAGAGTAAATGAGATTCAGGTGGGCCGAGGGACGGGCGGAGTACGGGCCTGGACCCAGAGGACAGCACGTTGAGTTCCGTTTGGGAGGGTGGAGCTTGTGGTGGGAACTGGAGATTTTGTGGATGGAGAGGTAGAGAGAGGCCAGGTTGGGGACGGTGGGGGATGCCAGGTTCACGCTGAGAGCTGAGGGCTGTCCCCCACCCTTCCTTGCCTGTCCTTCTTCTCCCAGGCTCAGCTGGAGTCACCTTTGCCAGGGAGACTTCTGTCCTGTCGTCGGGGGTCCTCTTCCTCTTCCTAGCCACCCTGGGCCTTGCTGCTCCCACTCGCTGTATCCAGCTGACTGTGTGGGAGCGAACGGGCACAGCCCGTTCTGGACCTGCCAGTGTTCCCCTTGCCCATTTGTGTGAGGAGTGCTATCCTCACACCGTGGTCTTTGCCCAAGAAGGGCATGAAGCACAAACCCTCAGCTGTGTGGCGGGACCTGAAAACAGTGCAAAGACCGGGCCTCCTATTTTTTGAAGAATTGTGTTCCTCTTCTGAGTTCTGCTCCCAACATTGCAAAAGTTTAAGTCACTGGAGGCAGGTGTATTTGTTTACCCAGGTTTTCAAGAATATGTAAAGTAAACCAATGTGGTTTTTACTTTCCTACTCATGTAAGGAACCAGAAGTCAACCTGTGCTTTATCCTGGTAGCCCTGTGGGGTTGATGGAGTTGTCTCTGACTCGCTGGGTACTTCCCAAGGGCCCACTCACCTCACTAATTAACTCCATCTGCCACCCTAGAGCCCTCTACTGACTAGGAAAGATTTATTCAACAAAAGTCTTTTAAATAATTTTAGAACATAAGTAAATTGTCTCTTATGGGCACCTTGTCTTGGGTAAGTAGACTATGAGCCAAGAATAGTTTCGGTGATGGGCTGGGGTTGTGGCTCAGTGGTAGAGCACTTGCCTAGTATGCATGAGGCACTGGGTTCATTTTTCAGCACCACATAAAAATAAATAGTCCATCAACAACTAAAAAAGAAAAAAGAAAAAAAGAATAGTTTTAGTGAATTGTTTTTGAGTGATTTAGAAGAAATATTACAGAGCAGACTCTCCATGTTGACAGTTAACTTCTAAGACTCTAGTGCTAGCCTAAGAGACAAAGCGCAGACAAGCACCAAACTTGCACAAGAGGATGGAAAAGTTGAAATAATTAAAACAATTTGTATGGAAAGAGGAGTTCTGAACTCGCAATTGTAACTGGAGATCAGACCTGGAATCTATTGCATAAACAAGAAAACTCACAATCAAAATCTCTGAACTCCGAACAATACCAAACAACAACCAACCCATCCTCTATTTCCCTGTGTCTCATTCTCCTGAAAACTCAATAATATGTTGAGAAATGAACAAGATAATTATATAATTAACTTGAAAGTGACCTGAGGGATAATGGATCCTCTAATTCAATAGTTCTTCAACTTGTAAGACTTATGCTCACTCATTACAGGAAATGCTTTGTAGTTCACCTGTTACTCTCCTGAAATTAAATTTATGTACAGTATGACCCACATACATGATATTTGTACTAATGCAATGTCATTGTGATGAAAGGAGAAGTAAAGGGGCAGTAAGTAATAATGATACAAGATGTACATTGGTATGAAAAGTTCATGGGAAAACAGGAAGTAACCAGATGTCCACACACAGAGTCCTGTTGAATGGGCCAGCATACCCAGACTCTTGCTAAAGTGTGGTGTTAGGGATTCAAACACTCCAAGCAGTATTTTCTTCAGTGACGTCCTTCTGCAATGGCAATGATTCTTGTTAAAGTTCTGAGTGAAACCAAGTAGTTTTCCTTCAATTTATATAATAGTTGCATTCCTAAAAAAAAAAAATTCAGCATCTTAAAAACTTGCAAAATATACTTGGTGTTTATATAGGGGCTAGAATCTTTTTAAAAAAATTTTTTTAGTTGTATTTGGACACAATACCTTTATTTCATTTATTTATTTTTATGTGGTGTTGAGGATCAAACCCAGCACCTTACATGTGCTAGGTGAATGCTCTACCTCTGAGCCACAACCCCAGTCCCAGGGGTTAAGAGTCTTTCATCAGATAATTATACTTTTTTTTCCTAAATTAATTTCTGCTAAGAGAATCAACATTTGTATTGGAATTAAAGAAAATTCTTTGTCACTGTGACAACAAAAATACCCACATATTTCTAAATATGGGAGTGTGGTACTGTCCCCATGATAAGTCCCGAACAAATCCCAAATGAAGCAACGTGTGGCTCAAACATGTCAAATGGAATGTTCAAAGCCATGAGCTGGTGGGGCACCAGGAGGCCGCTGGTAACAACAACAACAAAGTTTTCCGTTGGAGCCATCTGTTCCTTTTCTTTCTCATTGCTGATGCCTCTCTGACTTTATTTTGGTGGCCCTCCATGTGCTCTTATTGTAAGACACATCACTCATCATAGCTTTGTTACAAGTCAAGCCATGTATCCGAGGCATCCAGAAGGGTACCTAGCACTTAAAAGGTGCTCAAGAAACCTTTACTGAGTGATGGCATGGATGGCTCTGGGAAACCAAGAGTTCATTTTTCTGTAGCTAGGAGTGAGTGGCCGCAAGGGGGAGCCCTAGCTCTCGCTTCTCCATGGAAAGGAACTTCCCTCACCTGCACTGAGGGACCTAGGTGTGGGTTGGTATGTTTTTAATGATAATTGGATCCTGTATTTTTGAAATGTGTAAAACATGAAAGACTAGAAATTAAAGAGTTTCATACCAATTATATGTTGTAGGTATCTCAAAATATTGTTTATACCACCTCCTCTTTGAAATTAAGGTTGTCATTAGGTCACGAATAGACGTATTATTTCATGAATCAACACACAGATTAATGTCACAATTTAAAAATGATTTCAGTATAATCAATTTCCTTTGTAACCCAATGTGTTTTATTTTATACATTTAAATAATAGGCCTCACTGGACTTCCAAGATTAAGGGAAAAGTTTAAGAATCTTTGCTTAAAGAGAATGATGGCTTAGGGCTCTGTTAACCTCATTCACAAATCTGCTAAGGATCATAAATTAATATAATATGGATTTCTGTTGAAGTCCAACAAGGGGAGTGTCACTTCTGCCCCCCTGGAGGGCATCATATTACTAAGGGAATCATGTAGGTGTGATAACAAAAATGGTATCATAGAAGTATATTGACTTGATCTTCTACGTTTTCTTGATAGAGGGATATCTATCAAACCTTTCAACTTGCACTAAACAGAAAAAGGCCTCATGCATAAGGATAAGGAGCCTCATGAAAACTATTAAAAACCATAAATAATTGATAGATTGAGGCTGTGGTGTTGCCACTTCATGCTTCTCTAATTGATTATATTTTTTTGAGTTTTGACATTATTTGAAAAAAAATAATATCTAACAGCTAAGAACATCATTTCTCTAATTTATTTTCAATTAAGATGATGTAGTCAGTCATAGTATACCATAAGGGTCTGATAGGATTATGGAGAGTTGAAAACTTCTTTTGTATTATTCTTGTGTTTGTGGTGGTGCTGGTATAAACACGTCTACTGCTCTGCCAATTATGTCAAAGCAGCACATACAATTCTGTACAGTATATGATACTTGCGAATGATAATCAATGCCTGTTACTGGTCTATGCATTTACTATACTTGCTTTTTTACCATTATTCTAGAGGTTTGATATATACTTGCATGTGTGTATGTGTGTGTGTGTGTGTGTGTGTGTGTGTGTGTGTGTATGCCTAGTGCTTGCAGCATGCAATTCCCACACCTGTAATCCCTGTGACCCTGGAGGTTGAGGCAGGATGATTGCAAGTTTGAGGACAGCCTTGGAAAATTAGTAAGAACTTGTCTCAAAATAAAAAACAAAAGGGCTGGGGATGTAGCTCAGTGGTAGAGCACCCGTGTGTTCAATCCCTAGTACTGAGAGAAAGAAAGAATGAATGAAAGAAAGAAAGGGAGAGCCATGTTACACCATGGCAACCTCATCCAGCTCTCTTACAGCATCTCTTGTTGCATAATATTCCCTGGTGCTTGATCTAAGCTCACATTATTTTGTTCATCGTGGCCCTAGGAGCAATGTACGTATTCTGTGTAGCCTAGATGGCCTACAGGCTGGACCATCTAAGGTGTGTGATGCAGCAGGTGAACTCTGATGTTTGTACAGTAACAAAACTGGCTAATGATGCATTTCGCCTAACTTATCCTATCATTAAGTGATGCATGATTGTACATCAAACATAGACCTTTATACCTCTGACCACCAAAGATAAAGAATCAATATTAGGAAAATCTAACTTTGGGGCTGGGGCTATAGTTCAGTGGCAGAGCACTTGCCTAGCACATGTGAGGCACTGGGTTTGATCCTCAGCACCACATAAATATAAACAAATAAAATAAAGGCATTCTGTCCATCTACAACTACAAAAAAATTTTTAAGAAATCCAACTTTGGAAGTTTAGGGTTTTTGGATATAGGAAGTTTTATTTAATAAAATTTAAAATGCTACACCATCACCACAACAGAAAATGGAAAGATTTGTCTGGGTAGAACATTTGGTCTTCTCTGCAATAATGCTGCAGAGATATTCAAGCCAGGAAAAATGACGCTTTTTTTTTTCTTTTCTACAGGTATTGAAAAGCCTGGGCTTTAATGACCGTTTTTTTTCTGACCTGGAAACAGTTTAAAGGAAAGGTTATCTTCTATAAGTCATTGATAGTCTTCTTACTGCTATTTGTAAACTTATTTTAGATTGGAGATTGCTTCTGCTTTGCAGAAATTATCTGCTTGGAGCCATGCATAATTTATAACAATCTCTGGCAAAACCTCAGAAGAGATATGCTCTTGTCTCAGGCGGACGTCAGAGGCGGGAGCAGCACCCAGTGAAAACACTCCCCCAGTGACTCTGGCAGAGGCACAGCCTCTGAGAGCTTTCTTCTTGAGGATTATGACACAGTTAAAAAGGAAAAAAGGGCGCCAGGCAAAGCAGAGTCACGAATGAAATTGGAGAGGGGCTCTTTTGAGAACGTGGGGGTGACTGTGGACGCTGGAGCCCTTTGGCAGGACAGTGAAACCCTTCCAAATTGGGTGGAAGAAAAAGGAGAAGAAATGGCCCACGAAGTCAATCTGGATACCCTCAAGGAGTTAGAACTCGAGGTCATTCTCCAGGTCCTGCACCGTGACCAGGCTGTTCAAAGCCTAGAGGAAGAAAGGATAAGGTGAGTCGTCTGCAGAGGGGCACACTCTGCAGATTTGGCTTTTTCTGCCCCGAGTCTGCTCCTGCTTGGCTTTGGGCTACCTGCTTACTGGTTACTGCTCACTCACTGCTGAGCCCGAATGAAGGCATGTGGGTGCTTATTTTTGCTATCAGACTAAACTTGGAAGGTGGTAAGAACAAAGGGAGGCTGCCCTTGCTCGTCATTTTGTGACGTTGCTGTCCGTCTGCTTGTCCTTTTCTCTACTTTGGGGCACTTTCAGGTTTCTGGAAGTCCCCAAAAGAATGCTCTCAGGTTAAGAGTTCTCCCACCTTACTTTTGGTGTAACCTGAATACCCCAGAAGGCAGCTTTGGGAGAGCAAGTCTGATGGAATCCATTGCTCTCTTTTTTCCTTTGGCCACCTTTGCTTCCGTGTTGGCTTTGAGGAAAGACAGAGCATACACACGAACCTGCTTAGCCTGTCCCTGACTATTTTGCCAACAAAGTTTCTTTCCTGTCTGTCTCTAAGATGCAGGAGCTATCTGATATGAATTAACACTTAATAAGGCAGTGCTGGATGGTATCAAAACTGTCCATGGGCCTGGGGTTGTGGCTCAGCGGTAGAGCGCTCGCCTCGCACGTGAGAGGTCCTAGGTTTGATCCTCAGCACCACATTAAAAAAATAAATTAATTAAATAAAGATATATAAAAAACAATATTCATAAAAAACTGTTCACTGTTAGTTGTTAAGGTCCATCTTTGTAAAATATATTGGTGCCTGTTTATCAATGTTTATAGGGGACATGAAGTTTAGAAAATAAGAAGAGTGTGCTTACCATGTGCAAGGCCCTGGGTTCAGTCCCCCCACCAAAAAGAAAAGAGAAAGCAAATGGAATATGTTTTTAGTTTTGTTTTATATCCAAGGGCAGAACTCTTTTGAAGTCTGCCAAGAAAAACACAGAATGTAAAACTTGGACAACCAAATGCTTGAGAAACAAGGAACATTTTTCTGGTTAACTGGAAGGTACAGTGCTCTTTTCCCATCCTCCCTTGTGATTGCAAAGCTCTCAGAGTGTACTTACTTGTAAACTTTCTTCCATTAGAAAACATAATATGCTGACAAAAATGGCATTTTCTTTGATGATTAAAGAGCTTTCAGTGATCTGGAGACATTTTGAACATTAACAAAGTTACATGGGTACTATGGCAAGGAACTCAGTCCCAGTGTTTCTAGGGCAAATACTGAAAGTTGCATTTTAAAGTACCTTTCTGATGCAATCTTGTTTCTTCTCTTCTAAAACTAGGTAACAGAGACATTCCATGAACAACTGCTCTGGTTAATGACAATTTGGGGGGGATATAATACAGTGTCCCTTTCCACTCTGGCTATTGTCTAGAGGAGTTAGGGGCTGGAAGTGCGCTGATCACCTGTTAAAAAGAAAGTAGCAAAAGCTTAGCATCAGTTAAATAATTTTATGGAGTAACTTGCACCTATAGCAGAGATGTGTGCTCTATGATTGTGGATCTTTCCATGCCTTGCCTATTAGAATGGATGCCCTATTCTGTGTCTTTTTTCTTCTTTCGCTGTTCTTGGGCACACAAGGCTGAACCTACAACAAAAGTAGCAGCTAGCTCCTCTACGCTAGGCATATACTTATGCTTTGCCAAGTAATCCTTGCAGACACCTGGGTGGTAAGCTTGACATCTGCTTCACAGTTCAGAGAACCCTGAGTCTCAGCTCCAAGGGTTGCGGTGGAAACCCAAGGATGTCGGATGCCAAAGTCCTTTCCCATGCCATAGGCAGCGGGCGGGGTACTGTGGGCTCTGCCCTGTAGCCTGGCATTCCATGCAGCCCTGTCTTCTTTGGCTCTGTGGGCCACAGGAAACTGAAAACACACCTGCAGCATCTCCGGTGGAAAGGAGCCAGGAATCCCAGCCGTGAGTACAAGGAGAAGTGCTGCGCACGCTGCCAGCGGGCCTTGGGGCTGCTGCTGAACCGGGGGACCGTGTGCCTGGGCTGCAGCCACCGTGTGTGCTCTGAGTGCCGTGTGTTCCTGAGGAGGAGCTCCACCTGGAAGTGCACGGTGTGCTTCGAGGAAAGGTGAGCATCTCCAGGGGTCAGATCACTCTACTACCAGGCCTCACAGAGGTCTGAAACAACCCTTTAATAAAGAGAGCAGCCATTCCTCAATCCAATTGATAGATGCTTCCAGTGTGCCCAAAGTGGCTTGGGAGTCCTTTTATTTTGAAAAAAACTGTTATATTAAAAAGTTTTTTTTTTTTTTTTTTTTTAATTTATAGCAGTTTGTCAGGCTACCGAGGGATTAACCCTGGAGTTCAGTTCATCTGGACCACTTGACTAGTGCCTTAATTTATCTTCCTCAGTGAAAATGGAATGAATGGGGCATAGGGAATGTGAGGGTGAGCCTGTGCACCTTTCAACAAGGCCTCTCTGCAGGAGGCTAGCTAGACTATATTTGATACTCAGATAAAGAACTAGATTTGGTTCCTATTGGTGAAATACTGAATCTATGTTCATTTTAACCTTTTGGTGGTGAGGTTCTTAAACAAATTTTAACACAGAATTGGTGTTTTTGAGCTGCCTGTTTTGAAAATGGCAACATATTGATTTGCCTTGGACCAGTATCATTCAAAGCAAGAATGGGCAAGTCATGGATTCCTTGAAAACATAGGAGGGGTCTCTTTTGGGAGAGAGGGTGAAAAAGGACACCACGGAGCTTACCAGAAGGAGGAATGTGAGGCATGTGTCAATCTGGAGAGTAATCAGAGACCTGAAAATGTCGTCTAAATTTGCAGAGGTGGCCCAGGGACAGAGTGGAGAGTTGCTCACACAGTGGGGGTGGTGTCTAGGCTCTCTCTCCTAAACCAGGAGGGCTGTCTTTACCCAATACCCTGACATTAATCTACTTAATTTCCCATCCCTTTGCAAGGTGTAATGTATTTCAATTATTCAACCAAAGAGAAAAGTGGTTCAACCTGATCTCTGCGCTGAATTCTACAGCAGCTCACCACGTCGCCCTGACTTCCATTAGTCACCCTTGTTTCTTTGGTTGGCTGGAGTCTGAGCCTTTCAGGCTTTTCTTAGCTCAAGAGTGAAAACCAAAGCCCTACTATGAGTTGCCCTGGACACATGTGTGTTGAAGCAGGCTTGGGGCCCTCAGGAGACCAGATGACAATTCCAATCATCTCTAGGAAGGTCTAAATACCTTCTTTCCATTTCAATCAATGCTATGGATTTGAAATTTAGTACCCAGTGGCTCAGGAGGCTGAGGCAGGAAGGCCAGTCTCAGCAATTTAGCAAGGCCCTAAGCAACTTAGTGAGACCCTGACTCAAAATTAAAAAAAAAAAAAGGTGGATGGGGTGCTGTGGATGTAGCTCAGTGGTTAACTGCGCTTGGGTTCAATCCCTGGCATGAAAGAAAGGGGAGGGAGAAGAAGAGGGAGAGGGAGAGATAGAATTAGAGAGAGAGAGAGCGAGAGAGAGAAAGAAAGAAGAAAGAAAGAAATTAATTTGATAAACCTTGCCTGGTGAGACTCAAGATCCCTCAGTAGTTTTTCATCTTCTCATGATTAACTGTAAATTAAAAATCAAAACAGGAGTTCAAGGGCTGAGGCAACTCCCAGGAAGCTGACCCGTCTTGAAATCTCTGTCCTAGAGGGCATGATGCCCAGGCACTGTAACCCGACTCTCTAAGTCCATGAAATGTCATTTCTAAAACCCCAGTTTCCTTATTTTGAGATAAGGGTGTTTTCAAAATACCGGAGGTAATTGCATCACTGAGTGGTGGGGATGGGGGTGGGTCGTTAATCTGCGCCTGCCTTCTTCCTTTGGCTCTGCCCCTTCTTCACAGCCCTCGTCCTCTCTCCAGCTTTGTCCTTTCTGGCTGCCCTCCTGATTTAGGACCAAAGACGAGGCTTTGTAAAACTTCAGAAGGCTGTTGGAAGGCTGTTCCTCGCTGCCTCCCCTGGGACCTGAGAAATCCTCTTGACCCCACTCAATTTTCTCCCCTGCTTCTCCCTCAGCTTGAGGCTCCTTTTTCAGGAAGAAGTGCTTTGAGGACAGGATGAGGGGGGAAAGTTTTTAAATTCAGGAATGGGGAGCTCTGGGGTAGCAATTAAAAATACAGACCAGAGAACTAAAAAAATAAATAAATAAATATTAAAAAAAAAAATACAGACCAACTTACAGATTGTTGCAAAGCAAAAGGCCTGTGAGCTGGGCTGGCCTGGGCTGTGTGGCAGGCCCAGGGGACCTGTTTAGAGGGCTTCTGCTTCCAGGGAAAGTCCTCTCTTGGAGGACTGCCATCAGCAGAGCTGCTGGGGGTGGGGAGCTCAGAGGAGCTCTGAGGAGGGAGGGAAGAGGCGGATTCTAGAGCATCCGTAGCTGGAGTACTCCTGTCAGCTTTATTTAAACCTTCCAACAATCCCAAGTGGTAGCTACTAGCATCATCCTCATTTTGTGGAGGAGAAGGGGAGGCTGAGACATAATATAGTGTGCCCTGGAGCCCAGGTCCCCTCTGAGTCCCCACTGTGGCCACCTGCTGGGATACTTGCGTGGGAGGGCAGAGTCTTCAAAGCTACTCAAATAGCTGTGTCCCAGGCAGCAGGAATGAAGGCTGAGCAAAGGCTCTTTACTCCCTGAAAACCTACCAAGAGTGTTATTCTGCTGGGGGACTCAAGAGGCGGAAGACGAAGGGAAGAGAGCAATGAGAAGGTCCTGCAGTGGAGAGCACCCAGTGGGAGCCTGGTGCTGAAGTGGTAGGGACTGAGAGGCAGTTCAAAAAGGGGTGAGGGAACTCGGCTGCAGGGACGAGAGAGGGAAGAGTGGAGCCCGCTCTGAGGCCTGGCCAAGCAGCGAGCAGCTAGCTTTGCAGCAGTCTCAAGGCTTCAGAGAACCAGAGGAAACAGAGAAGGGGGAGAGGAGCAACAGAGAGAACGCGGTGAAGGAAGAGGAGGTGGAGAGGGCCTCCAAGAAGCTGGTTGAACGTTGCCTTCTGCAGGGAGAGGGCAGGTGTGGTCCTCGGCAGGCGCCAACCAGAAGGTGACTCCAGTAGGAAGGGTGTGCTTGGGGAGAAGGAAGAGGAAAGCAGACAGAAGCATGAACGTACCCTTGCTTAACACTTGGGTTCCCTCCCATGGAATTTATTGAGAGTTTCTACTGTGAAATGGCCCAGCTTTGATCGGGCAAATGGGAGGAAGGGTAGAGAGGGTACATGGGGGCAGGAAAGATAGTGGAATAAGATGGACATCAATACCCTAGGTACATGTGTGACTGCACATATGGCGTGACCTACATCGTGTACAACCAGAGAAATGTAAAGTTGTGTTGCAATTGTGTACAATGAATCAAAATGTATTCTGCTGTCATATATACCTAATTAAAATTAATTAATTAATTAAAAAAAACGAAATGGCCCAAGATAAAACTATGTTGAAATGTCAGGGAGACTAAGCTATATATTTGCTTGTTTTTGCTTATTTTTAAAATATTTATTTATTTATTTATTTTTGGGTACTGGGTATTGAACTCAGAGGCACTCAGCCACTGAATCCCATCCCCAGCCCTATTTCGTATTTTATTTAGAGACAAGGTCTCATGGAGTTGCTTAACACCTTGCTGTTGCTGAGGCTGACTTTGATCCTCCTGTCTCAGTCCCCTGAGTCACTGGGATTGCAGGTGTACACCTCTACGCCAAGCTGCTCATTTAAAAAAAAGAAAAAAAAAATTTTTTAGTTGTAGTTGGACACAATACCTTCATTTTATTTATTTATTTTTTATGGAGTGCTGAGGATTAAACTGAGGGCCTTGCATGTGCTAGGCGAGCACTCCACCGCTGAGCCACAACCCCAGCCCCATTTTTTTTTTTTAAAGGTAAGATTGAACTTGGTGACTTAGGTTTGTACTGATTTTTTTTTTTTCTTCTTAAATAATGTTCTAGGGCTGGGGATATGGCTCAGTGAGAGCACTTGTCAAGCATGCATGTGGCCTTGGGTTCCATCCCCAAGACTGCAAAAAAAAAAATAATAATAATAACAATTCTATATGCAGTGGCTTCAAATTCCACTTGTCTGGGAGATATCTGCTCATCTCTGAAGTACAAGATTGCTGAGAAATTGCTATCACATAGGCTCTCCCACTTGCTTTGTAATTGGCTATGACCTAACAGATTCATTCTTCAGATATTTGTGAGTATGCTCCTGTTTCATTTGAGAATATGTATCATACATTTACAAATTCTCAAGAGGTTATTACGTATACTTATCATTATTATTACAATTATTATTTTGCAATGCTGGGGGTGGAACCTGGGGTCTTGTACATGTGATACGTGAGTGCTTTACCACTGAGCTGCACCCCTGAGCCCCAGAGTTTGTTTTGCTTTGTTTTCATTGGGCTATTTTGCTGGTAGTAAGACTTCTTTGGTCTGATTAGGTTCAAAACTTGTTGCTCAAGAAATTCTCCATGTTTTCAATATTTTAACAATGTGCCACTGAACTTTTTAATAAGACAATGAGAAGATTTTAGACTAAGGTTTCAATTTGCAGCAGGTTCACGGTGGTTTCTTAGTTAACTCGGGTGCCTCTGGTGCCACAGCTGGTGCCAATGGGGAGCAGCATAATGCTCAGCTGGAAACAGACCCAGACCTTGATCTTGGCGTTTCACCATCACTTCCTCAGTTCTCAGTCCTGAGCTGTTGCAGAGCAGAAATGGTGAACGTACATCTTGGAATTTATCATAAGGGATTTAATTTGGCTCGGGTGCCTTTTTGATTAGGATTTGGAGATAAGCGTGTTGTCACAGGATGCATTCATTGTGTTTTCTACATCGCATGGGAGAATTTTTATTGAAAATCACGCAAAATTTCAATAATGGTTCTATAACAAAATTGTTTCCTGCTTAAAATAAAACTTTCAGAGGTTAGAAAATGTACTCCTGGCTGGGAATGGTGGCACTTGCCTGTGGCTTGGGAGGCTGAGGCAGGAGGATCACGAGTTCAAGGCTAGCCTCAGCGACAGCAAGGCACTAAGCAACTCTGTTTCTAAATGAGAGACCCTGTTTGTAAATAAAACACAAAAACA